CTTCCCTCAAATTGAAGCTAAATATTATGAGGGATACAAAGTAACAGTTTATAATGCTACAAGATGATAACCTCAGGTAACATTGTTAAAATGCAGGTGTGTGGGGGAGACGGGGAGGGAAAATGCACTAAATTTAATAAACCACAGCATTGCTTGAATAGCGGCCCATATTATGTCTACACTATGGGCATGATCTATGTGTCTTGGACTAACTCTAGGCCTGACTCTGATGTTAGCCAGATGTGCGACCTCTGTAATTTCACCTGGGCCAGGCCTCTTTTGGGAGGGAGAAGGGATGTTATATTGATGCAGAGGAACAGCGTATGGTCTAATTGTTATGTGACTTTGTGCTAAAAACGCACTCTCCAAAAACCCAGTTAGAGAGCATCCTATCTCAAGAAAGGGTTAGCATCGGTTCATTGCCATATTCGGAGAAAGGACATGTTCACTGTGGTCATAAGGAAGGATTGTTACAAGACAAACTGGTCAGGAGAACAAAGATGGCTTATCTGACCCTGACTGAAACCAAGGGGCAGTTATGAAACCAGGTGTCGTAGTTGCATCTGTCCTCATTTCACTGGTGGCAGTCCAGTGAAGTGCTTTCTTAAAAATAATAAGGTGGCGCTTTTTAATTAATTAATTTTACCTGTTTATAGCCCTGTCACTACGCAGGCTTTTGGGAAAGCTGTCCCATATTCTTAAAATATAACACTCCATGAAAAATTACACATTAATGCCTCTCTCCTAAGTAAGTTAACTAAGACCTTACAAATTAACATCAAGGTAACCAATAGAGGTTTGAAGCAGGATCATTTATTTTGTTTGTTGCAACACTGTGGCAGTTTGCCAAGATATTTTTAACAGGGAACTCTAGAACTCACCAGAGTTAAAAACGTTTGGGCTTATTTGATTCTTTCACAGAGAAGATAAATAGCCACAAAGACAGCAGGAAGCACATCTCACTACTCACAGGAGTGAGCAGGAGAGAGAGAACGCCTCTGTGCTCAGACCGCAGGCCAGGTCTCGGGTTGCTGACTTACCAGTATCAGGCCATCGCACCACCAGTGAAAGTTTGCATGTGAGTTGCAACACTAGGAATCATACGATGCCCGTACCTACACTGGGGCTGTCCCCTGGGCAGCACAGTCTGTCACGTGATCAGGGTCCACAGAGCTATGTAGCAGGAAGCGCTAGGTGTGAGCTCCTTTGCTCTTTGGTGCTTGAAGTAACTGAGCTCTGGTTGGTGGGTGGACAGTGCTTGCTCTCGGATTGCTCATAGAGCGTTTTACACAGACCGAACTTAAGTGCACTGTGCTCAGAAGTTGAGAGTTTGTTTCGGAGGATGGTTTTTTAAAAGCCTTTGGGTATTTGAAGGGATGTTTGAACCCCTGTTTAATAGACAAATATTTGCTAGTATAGAATCTTCAAACTAAGATTGTGTCTGTACATCAAGCCTGGGGTACAGTGCTTTACCTCCATTTTCTCATTTATTCTTGGCAACAGCCCTATGAAGTACATGGTGTTATTACGCATGTTTTGCAGATGCGATGAGAACAGAAAACTGAGGCTGAGAAAGATTAAGTTGGCCAAGTCACATAGCAAGGAAGTGGCTGAGCCCTGATTCAAGCCGTGGCCCCCTGACCCTGTGTCCTGTCTACCAGGCTGCCAAAGCTACTGTCAGCAAAGACCAGCATTAGTGAAACATAAAAGCAACACAAGATGTGAAATAGCCAGGCATAAACGTAACCAAAAAATGCATGGGGGATATAAAAAGGAATTGTTCCCGTTTTAATTGAGGGACATAAAAGAGTTAAACAAACAGGGAGAGGCACACTGTGTTCCTGAATGAAAGATTCAATCATATGAAAATTATCATTTTCAGTCCAAGCTGTCTCTTAAATATTTCAATGAACATTTCGTCTGGAAGAACCATGATGCATAAATAGCCTGGACAATTCTGAAAGAAGGAAAGGGGAGGGTTGTGAGACAGGGGACGGGGGCCCGGTTCGCAGGGAGCGAGCTCCTATAACTAACGTATGTTCTCCCAGAACCGAACAAGAATCATTAGTGGAACAGAACTGGATAATGAAAAATAGCCTCTGGATAACTAAACCTTTAATATAGTATAAGTGTAGCCTTTCATACTCAGTGATTATTCAATAAATAAATACTCTTGGGACGACTAACATTTGAGGGGGATATTTAGAACTCTACTTCATATTTAGATTTAAATAGACCCCAGATAGCCCTGGCTGGCATAGCTCAGTGGAATAGGGCATAGGCCTGTGAAGCAAAGGGTCTCCAGTTCAATTCCCAGTCAGGGCACATGCCTGGGTTGCAGGCCAGGTCCCCAGTAGGGGGACACGTGAGAGGCAACCACACATTGATGTTTCTCTCCCACTCTTTCTCCTTCCCTTCCCCTTCTCTAAAAACAAATAAATAAAAAAAATAGACCCCAGATAAATTTTAACATTAAAAATAAAGAAAACTTCAAGAAAATGTAGGTAAATATTATAACTTTAAGGTGGGGACTGGTGGGAAAGCCATATCAGAAAATGATTAGCTGCATTAAAAGCTCAAATTTTCTGTACTTCAAATACCACAATACATAAAATTAGGAGGAAAATGACAAATGAACAAAAATATTACTATTAATACACAAACTAATAAAAAACAATTGTCCCATTTTAAATATGAGCAAACAATATCAATAAGCAATCCAGAAAATGAAGAAATTAAAATTACTGATAGAGCTTTGAAAAATGTTTATTACTCCTAGTAATAAAAAATAATAAAGTAAAGGTAAATGCTATAATAGTTTCACCTATTAGATTTACAAAAAAGTGAATATAATAATATCCAGTGTTGGAGAGGATGAGGGGAAATGGGTGCTTCCCTGAAGTGAAGTGTTGGGGGCAGGCAAAGTGATCAGATTTCTCGGGAAGGGGGGACTGGGCAGCAGGCTCGTTACATTTTAACGCAGCAATTCCTCTTCTCGATATTTATTCAAAGGTTAGTCATTGGAAGTATGTGGCAATTTTATAATAGATAAAACCTAAAAAATGGAAACAGACTACATATTTAACAATAAAGATGTGGGTTTAAAAAAAGTTCCTTGGTCTCATGAGATAGTGGAATTCTCTGTAGCCACTAAAAAGATATTTTAAATTTACTAACAGGAAAGACGCCTATGCGTGAATCAAAGTGAGTAACGCAGAGGATCACAGGATATGCATAATATGATCCCATTTCGTACAAAAAGAGTGTGTCATTATTACAGAAAAAAAGTTCGGAATAGTATAGAGCAAAATGTTAACTGTAGTGAGATTCTTAGTATTCTTTTTTTAAGTGATTTTTTAAAAGATTTATTTTTTTAGAGGGAGGGGAAGACAGGGAGAAAGAGAGGGAGAGAAACACTGATGTGAGAGAGAAACATCAATTGGTTGCCCCTCCCATGCCCCCAGCTGGGGACCTGGCCAAAAACATAGGCCATGTGCCCTGACCAGGAATTGAACCTGCAAATTTTTGGTTTTTGGGTGCACTTAACCCACTGAGCCACACCAGCCAGGGCAAGATCATTAGTATTCTTGTTTCACTTATTTGTGTTTTCTCTTTTTCAACAATGAACATGGATTCGTGTTATTTAATTAATTTTAAAAGTTACTTCTGTCGTGACTGCGGGACACAGGTCAGTGCAGTGGACGAAAGAAACACTGAGCCCGTTCCCACTCAGCTCTGTAATGTGCTCTGCTCAGAGTGGCAGAAACTTCAAGGTCAAACCACAGAAGTAAAACATGCAATTCAGAGCCTTGTGCTCCGTAGAGATGAACTCTGGATCTTAGAAATACTATTATCTTGCCACCACCTAATTTCCAAGAAATGACACCTCCTTGCCCAGTGTAAGAGTTGCTCAGAGCGACTTAAGTGAAGTGGATCGTTACATCTACTCTTCAGATTAAACAAATGCGTCCTCGTTTTCAGTTTGGTTTCCATTTTAAATAAGTGTTGCTACCGAAGTCGTCGTCCTTTTGACAGTGTCGGTCTTCCCTTTCCCATTGTTTGTCCCTCCTTAACACAGCTTCTTCCTCATCTCCGTAACACAAACACAGACACCCACACGTGCACACGGGGCTTCCCTCCCTCTTCACGGATCCGGTTGCTTCAGAGTCCTCTTTGGAAACAGGTGCTGTTCCACTGGGCAGGAGAGCACTGAGGCAGGAGTGAGAAAAAGAGTCCATTTCGGACTAGACATGCCTATGAGCTGAGAAGATACCAGGTGGTGGTGATTGTTATCATTCACCCTTCTTTGGAAACAGAGGTCCCTTCAGGTGCTGGGATTCGAGTGAAGGGGCACCGGACTGAAAAGAGATGCAGTGGCCAGCCTTCCAGGAGACTTGGGTGGTGGCACAGTCCAGCTGGGAAAAAGCTGCAGAGCCAGATTGTGGCAAAGCTAGCCAAGTTAGAAACAAAAGCACACGTTAGCCAGCCAGCATGGTCCTATCCAAATACCACGTCCATAATTTATGTCTACTCACACCCCAGGCTGCCTGATGACTAGATTCTAAATGACACCAAGAAGGCACCTCCAGATCCTGTGGATATGAACAAAATGGGCTTTTGAAAACATGCCAGGATCACAAACTCTTCAGGGAAAACAGCACATGGAAATTTTTTAAAAAGGGTGGGGGGGAGACAATTTGGCATTTATTCATAGCCAGTGAGATTAAGATTTAATTAAAGGGGGGATCCCCAATTCCATCTGGTTTGCCCCACGTCAGTACCAGGGGAGGGTATCAGGGCAACAGGGATTATTTCTTGGCCTTCGTGGATTTTCTTCTCAGGGATCAAATGTAAAATCCAAACAGGCCTTTGTGTTGGAAATCGTCAACTGGACGCTGTTGGCTTCCTGACTGTTTATGTTCTCTTGATTCGCCTCCATAGTGGAGTGACCAGCTCTTAGTGGTTTCTTGGAAATACACTCTTGTTCTGTTTTTTCACAGTGACAATGAATCCTGAAACTGAATGGGGCTCATGTTTTCCAAGAGAAGCAGCTCCGGAGGGAGCCTGCAGGGCCTGCCAAGAGAGGATGAAGAGGATACAAATTTAATTAATTTCAAATCAACATAGACACAAGAATCTCCCGTTGTTTCGTCCAATGCCCACTGCTCCTAACGATGGCATCACCTGTACTTGGAAGAATGTGCTATTGAGAAGTCCGAGGAAAACGCCTGGCTGCCATCCATCGCTGAGGGGGGAGGAGCCCTGTGACACCTTGGCCTTGGCCAGGCTCTCGCTGACGCACGCACTCTGGCCAGGCCCTGCTCTCTGCTCTAGGTGGTGTCCCTGTTACCTTCTGCTTCATTCCTCAGGGTTCAAATCAGGGAGCTGTTTTATCTATGGTTTCCTTCTGGGTCACATTGCTACCTAATTAGCTTTGGATAATTTCCTCTGATTAGTCAAGTGCTTTGATAGGTCACCTGCATCTGGCAGGACCTTCTCTCAAGGTGAGTCAAACGATGCATACAAGCAATGTAAGTTGTATACACCAGGCCAGAGTTTGGCAAAGTGCTTTCTGCCAGCCAGGAAGACACAGGGAGAGCCCACAGTCCTGAGATGTTGTTGGGTGACTTTTGGCCAGATCCAGTCGCTCCTGGGAACTTCTCAGAGGAAGAGGAATCTCCAACGAAAGAGCAAACGTTTCTCTCTCAGCTAAAAATCAGCTACTGGTTCACACTTCCCCCAAGCTCGTTCTCCTTGTCCCCACAGCTCCCTGGCATGCATGCCGGTAGGAAATGTGCGCATGGGGGGGTCATCTGTCAGCCTCGGATTGTTTGTCTCCGAGATCTTTAAGGTCACTCGAGACAAACAAAAGGGGAATAGGAAATATCTGCGCCTGTGGCAGATGTCACTCACCACCCCGGTGGTCTTTCTTGCCAAGTTGGAACACTCCTCAGATCCTCCAGCTCTCCAGGCCGCTATCAGCCCATCAGCCCTTCTCTGTGATTTCTACGTCATCTGTGTTGACGTCCTTGTGCTGGCGCAATGGCGCAACACCCGGAAGGGCCTGTTTGTCTCTCCCACTCACGCAGAATCAATCTCCACGTAATCCTTGGTTTTCAAGTTCTGACCTTTAGAGCAAACTAGGAAATAGGAGCTCCTCGGGATAGCTCCTCCTCCTACGTACGACACCGGATATTGTATTCCAGAAAAGAAACAAAGAATAAAACGTTTTATTTATTTTATTCCTCGAGCATATAAACTGAAGGAAGAGGAGGTTTACCAAACATTTGCTGCTGAATTTGGGGTCTTGTGTTTGAAAGGCTGCCTTTCATGCATAACAAAAACTGGCCCCTCCTCCCTTTCTGAATCCAGTTAACTTGTCCTCGCTTTCTGAATTAAGCTCCTACTTTTGAGCACAGGGTCCCAAATCAGGGAGGTCGTTCCACACAGTGAAAGGCAGAACTGTGTTGTTCGACCGCTGTTGTTATCCCGTCCTACACTGCACAGAGCTTTAGCAAAAGACACTTTCCTGATACTGTCATACTCTCTTTGGGACATCCTAATGTGCCATTTTTGTTTCCAGTGTGGTTGTACATATTCATATTTAACTTGTGGTCCATGGTGACTCTCAGATCTTTATGCCAAAATTGCCCCGTTCTGAGTCACCATTCTGCCTATGTGGTTACTTGTTCCTCATCAGCATTTGGCTCTCAGAAGAGTCTCTCTTCTCTCTCTCTCTCTCTCTCTCTCTCTCTCTCTCTCTCTCTCTCTCTCTGGGTCGCTAAGATTCTAGCTGAACACTTTGACCTGTAAACTCCACCCGACCCAACCCAGTAATGGACTTTAGAAGTTCTGAGAAGTTCAGGAGTCTTGGAATCTCATTTGATGAAGCAATATTTTATATGATAAAATTGTTCTTACTTAGTATTTAAAATAACTTCGGATTCCAGAAGAAGCCAAATTTCAGCAACAAGGCATTGAGTTTATGGTGGAAAAACTCACTAACTTCTATAATTGTACACTGTACAAGGCTCTTCTTAAAGTTGTAGGTAATTCTGGCAAGACTAGAAGTTGGTGTGGGTGGGAGCAGCCAAAGGCTACTTCTAGCACCCTGTGGGCTTACAGTTCCAATCAGCTGGCATCACAGATTCATGATAATTAAAACATTTTTGAAAACCCAAACTTAATTTTATGTTTCAGATTGTTAGTAAAAAATCTCATTAATTTGCCCAAATTAGGTAGCTAATCAGATCAAAACCTGACTTTAGAATTCTTAAAAAATACATATTTTGTTGCATTTTTGTACACTTTAAGCACACCAGGTTAACAGCATTGCCTAGTCGAACTCCTCAGGACCTTTGTTTTAATAAGTGTGTAAAAATAACTGTCCTATGTCAGTGATGTGACTTCTCTCCCTGGGAAGGCCACCGTCACCCAAACAGGAGCACACGGCATGGGTCAGCCGTGACACCCACAGGGGTTACAGGTGCTTGTGTGGACACTGTTGTAGCTCTAGCAATGCAAATAGTTTCTTTAAGAAATATTTTGTCTATTTTTTCATTTTGGATATTTAAAAATCCATTTTCACCAGCTCTGAGAGAAGGCCCTGTGTTGAGTGAACATGAAATGTAGATGCTAATTTCAACCTCTGTCAGAATTAGTACCAATTCTGAATATGGTGAAGTGATAAGACATGGTTTCATACTGGGGAGACCCTGCTGAAATTCTCAGAGTGGGTAAAAGATTGAAATTTAAAATTAAAAGAAATGTACACATGGTACTTTTTCACACTCAGAAGACACTCAGGATAAATTCTGGGGTTTTCATTTAATATCTCCAATAAGCAGTCCAAGGGAGCTTCTCTCATAGATTGTTATTTGTATCTTATAATAAGCAGAAGAGTCACTGTATATTAGTTGGAGTAGAATTAGTCAAATTTGTTATTAATAATTTCAGAACCCAAACAACCAATTATTATTATTATTATTATTATTATTATCATTATCATCATCATCATCTCTTTGACCTTGCCTGATACTGCTTCGTTTAGCACCAAAATTTTATCCTTTTGGGGGTGGTTATTTGTAGATAACTGGTGGGGGTTTTTTGTTTTGTGTTTTGCCATGTTACCTTTTCTAAATAATATGTTATATTCATGAGGCAGAAATTCATACAATTATATAAAATAAAACTTTTTTTTTACCAACTCTATAGATTTCAGCTCTTTTTGAAATGATCATTTAAGAAGTTTAATTTCTAAACCAAAGTGCTTACAATCACATAAATGCTCTAATTTCAGTTCTGTACAAAATTAGAAACATAATGTTGAACTATGTAAGACAACCAAAGGTGGATGTGTTCCTTTTGCAATAGAATTTCCGGTGCAGAAGGCTCGGGTGGTCATAACTGCTGGGCTCATGGCACAGTGACATCGTTGGCCTCTGGTGCTTCAAAACTGAGCACTCGGACATTTTACACAAAGCATATTCTTCTCACTTCTTTGGTTGGCATTAATGTACTGAATGAATGGAATGCAGATACTACAAACAGTAAGTGACGTGGAGATCAGTGAGTGTGATCACTATATTACTCTGACTTAGGTAAAACCCCTGAAATTATAATTAACATTAGGAACATGTGGAAATTAAGCACGTTTAACAAATGCCAGCTTTGAGAAGAAGTAGGGATTATAGTCAATCAATAAGTTAAAAAATAATCTAGTAGATCAGTAATAAGTTAGTATGTGTTATTCCTTGCTTTAAAAATTAAGTGAGAATAGTGCTGGCTGGTGTGGCTCAGTGTTCTGAGTGCCAGCCTGTGAACTTAAAGTTCGCCAGTTCGATTCCCAGTCAGGACACATGCCTGGATTGCATGTGGGCTGGGTCCTCAGTTGGGGTCATGGGAGAGGCAGGTGATCAATGTGCACATCCGTGTTTCTCCTTCTCTCTTCCTCCCTTCCACTCTCTCTAAAAAATAAGTAAATAAAGTCTTTAAAGTTAAATGAGAATAATGTAAAAAACAAACTTCACTGCATTAGACTCATTGTACAAGCAATGTCAAGTATTTCCTCAGGAGATCAGTAAGGTCATCAGATGTCATGTTTATCTTGGCTTCTGTCCCAGCTACATATAAATTCTACTTTGTAAGCCTTATATCAGAAATGGTCCCATTGCTACTGATCAGAACTGATTTGCAAAACTATCAAAGTTTTAAGATTGATTGAAGGTTTTAGATTTTTTTCTCCTAACTTGCATGCTGATAATAATATATATAACAATATTTTTCCTTTATGACTTCGGGCTTTATTAGTGTCAGGTATACATGTAGATATGTGTGTAATTTATTCTGTTCTCAGCGGCATGCTTTTTTATAATAAGTATATGCATGTTTGCATGCTAAATGACACATTCAGGAGTGATAGGCTGAAAAATATTTCTAGATTTAATTAAATAATACCCTTAATGGAAAAATGGGGACAACTGTAACTGGACAATTTAAAAAAAAGCAAAGCACTGTGAGATAGGAGGAAAAATAGGAGGGTTAATGTATATCAGTATTTGAACAAATGTTTATTTGAAGGAAAGTAAGATATTTATTTCCTAAAATGCTGATTGCAAGAGTAAAGGAGTGAATTTTGCATCCTTTGAAAGGAAAGGAAAATTCTTTGAACCTCTATGACTAAGAAGAAGGGTTGTTGCCTTTGTAACTGCCCTCTTTCACCCATTTACCCCTTGAAAAACAACAAAACGGTTCAATTCAAAAAGTTCTTTTGGAACTGGACCTGTTTTATGACAAAACTGTCCCGACCAGAAATTAATTGGATTTCCTGCACATCTAAAAGATATCACTACACATTCTTTTCTTTTTTCTTCCTTACAAAATATTTTTATTTTTTTAATATTTATTTATTTTAAATATTCAAGTACTTACAAAATATTTTTAAATTGAGGGATGAAGTTTTAATTACTTATGGCAATGTAATTAAAAATACTTTTAGTAAAAAATAGGAAATTTTTAGTGATAAAACCTCTTTTTTCTGATTGCTCACTGTTCTTCGTGCCTTTGGCTCTGATTTCATTTTCCACACCTTGGTGTTGGTACAGTTAGAGCAAGGCAGACTGGCAGGTGCACAGCACGCAGATACTGTGAAGATTTTCTTGGACAAGGGCGCGTTCTCACAGGTCATAGAAACCAGTCGGCACATTGACCAACAACGGGCAGAAAGGTGGCTCCTCGTGGTGCCAACTGGAGAAAAACCTGGTAAATTTTGGCACTGACATACCTCTTGAGTCTGCGGCAGGGTGTGCGTCCCTTCCTATTTTCCCTGGAACGACCGAGTGACTAAGGTGCTGGGTCAGATCAGCCTGGAGCCCGCAGCAGACAGTCCCACAGAGTGAGGGGGTTGATGCCAGTGAGAACAGTGAACTCGATCAGCATTTATTATGTGTACCAGGTGCTGTGCGAGCCTCCGATACTACAGACACAAAATTAAATTGTTCTACGCCAGGCTGGCTTTTTCTCATACACGGAAGAGCACAGAGGTCAGCTGCTGTGGCAGCTCTGGGGTCCCCTGGGACCTGGGCCTCGGCCACGTGCTCCCCACATCCACTGGTGCACGGCTGCCTTCTTCAGGGTGGCCACATGACCAAGATGGTGCTCTGGCTCCAGGGTGATCTTCACGGGAAGGAGAAAGAGGGAGCCTGTGTGAGGGTGAGCCTCCCAACTAGGTCAGCCACCCGCCCGATGAAGCAACTCGGCCTGCATCTCACTGGCCAGCCCATCTGCAAGGCAGCGAGGAGCTGTGGTTTCCCTGGTTTGGTGCATCGTCACACCCAGCAGTAAGGTCTCTGCTTCTCAAAGCTGTGAAAAGTTATTAGGTACCTGATGAGGTAGCAATGGTGGCCTAAAGGTGCTAAGCATTGACTCTATGTCATCTCGTTTTAACCCTCAGAATATACTTTGAAAGTAGGTTTAGAGAACTGATAAACTTGTCCCATGCCACCCTAATTCCAAAACACTTATGTTCATGTTTTTAAAGATTTTATTTAGTTAGTTTTTAGAGAAAGGGGAAGGGAGAGAGAAAGGGAGAGAAACTTCGATGTGAGAAACATCAGTCGGTTGCCTTCTGCACACTCCCAACCGGGGGCCAAACACGCAACCCAGGCATGTACCCTGACCAGGAATTGAACTGGTGACTTTTCTGTTTGTGGGACGATGCCCAACCAACTGAACCACATCAGTCAGGGGCCAAAGCACATGTTTTAAACTGTCATGCCACGCTGCCTCCCCAGTGATAAACAATAGGAAAATATTTAAGAAGGCGGGCACAGCCTGAGATAAGTAGAAGAAGCTGCAGGATGGCGGTGAAGGCCGGACCCCAAGGACAGTGGGAATGGTAAAGCAGGCTGAGAAAGAAGCCAGGGCTTGGAATGGGGCTGATATGGAAAACTCTAGTTTCTGGACCCAGGCACCGGCAAGGGTTTGGTTAGTTGGCGAAAAAAATAGCATCCTGTTTACTAGAGCTAGAGTTGACAGAACAGTAGCTGACCTCTTTAGGTAGCTGTGCTCCACAATGGAGAGGCGTGCCCAGATACGCTCAAGAATAGGTGTTTAGTGCTAGAACTTGAAATAATTTTTTTTTCAATTTAAGGGTGCTAACTTGTATTTTTTTAATTTAGTTTTTTTGTCAACACAATTACAGATATCCCCCATTTCCCCCCTTTGCCCCCTCCTCTCAGAGTCCCCCCACCCTACCCTTCATCACATTGCTGTCTATGTCCATCGACTTTGCATATGTGCGTAGTTTAAAGTAGCCTGAAATATCAGCTCTTTCACAGTCACAGTCATTCTGCCTTTCCGAATGGCCACGCCTAGTGCGTGCGTAGGACTTGTGTGCAAGAGGAAAAGCAGCGTTGTTTGGGATTCAGCCTGAGTTCAAGAGGCCCACTTCTGGATGCATTCATACTTCCCAAAAAAAGAATATTTGATTGGATTGTCATTTGGGTCGTCTGTTGCTACCCAGCACACCGTCTCAAAATTTAGTAGCTTGCTTGACACAGCAACCATCATTTATTTTGCTCATCATTCTGCCATGTGGGTGGGGTCGAGTGGGAATGGCCCATCTCTCTTCCACATGGCATCAGCTGGGCACCTCATTTGGGAATGGCGGTTTACTTTCAGATGGCTCACTCACATGCCCGGCAAGGTGCCGGCTGTTGGTTTGGAGCCCAGCAGGTCTATGGTCTTCGCTCCTACTACACAGCTCTCTCCGCGGCCTACCTGGGCTTCCACACAGCATGGTAGCTGAGTTCCAAGAGCAAGTGTCTCAAGAGAACGAAGTGGGAATATATGGCATTTTTGTAAGCTAGACAGGAGTCGTAGGTGATCACCTCTGGCATGCTCTATTGCTTGAGACAGTCACAGAACTCAAGGGAAAGAGGACACAAACCCAACCATTCAATGGAAGGGGCATCAGGGTCGCATTGTGAGGAGAGCAAGTGGGGTAGGACATGTGTTGTCAGCATCTTTGGAAAATATAATCTGTCAGAATTGGAATGGACCATGCAATACAGAGGAAATATATTAGGCAGTCTCATGTCAAGTGTCCTTATGAATATTTTATCTCCCTTGAGTCCAGTGCCTGTGTGACTGTCTTCAATTGGACACATGTCCCTGGTCCAATAATTTTTGGTTTGGGATACATGAGGCAGGATCCGTGGCACAGAACAGGTTGTGGGTGCATCAGACACATAGAAATCTATGTACATAAGGATGTAACGGGACCAGATAGAGTCTGAGCACCTTGAGGACAGGGATGAAAAAGTCTTAGCCTCTCTGTGTCCTGAACAGTGTTTGTCACTAGGAGATGCTCAATAATCATAGGAAAAGCAATCATCTGCTCAGTTAAGGTCACTGTGTCACTCTTACTCAGGTATCTAATTAGTCTTCATGTTCAGTGAAAGCAGGACCCAGACAGAGATTTGTTCATTTTCCATCACCATTTTCTCCCCACTCCTCAGTATAATTATGTTTTTCTCACCTTCCATCTAATGGATTCGGATATCATCTTTTATCCTTATTTGAAATTGTCCTATTGTATGTGCATTTTATTTTTAGCTACTTTAAATCCAGTCTGGAAGGACACAGAGAACAACACAATGGAACTAACCAGCAAGTGGAGGTGGAGGGGAGCAAGCGGT